TCTCTCTCCCTCTGTCTCTTTATGGTCAAATTAAAAAATAATAATAATAAATGGAATTTAATTAATTAAAATAATACTAATAACACAGGGGACCAGCAGATGGCGTAATGGCTATGTCGCTGGACTCCCATGTAGTTGACCGCAGTTCAAGTCCCAAACCCAATGGCTTAAACTCACACCCAGCGTGTGTGCATGCGTGCCCAAGATCCCAAGGGCAATGCAGGAGAAGGGATTGTGGCATGGCCATCCACCCTGGGTGGTGATTTCTCACTTTCTGTCTGTCTCTGTCTTTCTGGCGAGCTCACGTGCCCTATAGCAAAAAACTCTCCAAATAGTAATAATACTACTACTAATAATAATAACAGCATTTATATATTGAGGGCTTATGGTGGCACTGGACTAAGTTCTCTACAGACATTTTCGTACTAGTCCTCTTCCAACAACCAACCTTGTTAGAACTATCTCACCATTTTACAGATGAGACCTCAGAGGCATGTTAGGGAACTCCTTCAAGGAGCAGCTGGAATTCGAGCCACATGTGTACCCCAACCATACTGCCACCCACATAGTCTACATTTACTACCCTCACCCCCGCTACTCTTCTCAGGAAACTCTTACCTTGGGCCAACCGAACCCCTCCCTCCACAGTTCTGTCCAATGCCCCTCGCTCTCCTGTTCCCTTGCGTCGTTTGTGCTGTGAGCTGGGGGAAGGGCCCTTCTCCCACTCCTGTTTCTATCCAAATCCAACCTACTCATTTAAGCAGCAATCACATGTCTGTACACCCGTGATCGCTTCAGCTGGAAGTAATCACTTCCGTCTCCACACGGCCACAGCGCTTCACTGCATCTCTTCCTGCAAGTATTGTATCCCGTTTCAGAGAAGCAGGTTCCCACCTGTGCAGCCGGCTCTTAGCTGAGCTCACAATTCCAACTCTCCTCACTTCCTTTAGAGCCTTGCTCTTCCCAATGGACCCAGAAACCCTTGTTCCATTGACCCTTACCCTCGTTCTAGAGACAAAATCCACAGAGAACCCTTTCTTAGGCTTGCACTCTGCCTCTCTTCCCCGTTAGAAGTCTGGTTGAGCTTTCTTCCTCTGCTTCTTCACCCAGCTCACTCCTCAACGCACTGTAGTCCTGCCTCCCTCCAGACTACGGGCCCAACTGCCGCCTCACCTGGGACATCTGATGCTAAATCAAGGGACGCTTCCCAATCCTCCTGTGACCTCTGCAGCCCTGGACACTCTTCACTTCTTCTTGCCCCTTAAATCTGTGCTGCCCTCCACCACCCTCCTTCCTCCTGACTCCAGACCCTTTCCCTGGGACCTCACGCACTTCTCTGGCTTCTGTCAGTGCATGTTCCCGTATTCATGTCTCAGTTCAGCGCTGGCACAGGGCAGACATCGTGTAAACTAGGCTTGCGGGATCATACTATTAGGGGGCAGTTTTCAGGCTCTCCTGTGTTGTTTCTTTCTCTCTGTGTTTTTTTTTAGAATTATTTATTAAATGTTTGGACCAGTGGGTGACGTGATAGTTAAGGCGCTGAACACTCCCACACAGCTGACCGTGGTTCAAGTCCTGGACCTTGTGGCTTGCTTTCTGACTTTCCTTCTCTCCCTCTCTGTGTCTCTCTCTGGTCAAATTAAAATAAATGAATGAATGAATTTTTAAATAAATAATTATTTTTTAAATGTTATTTTTAAATTTATTTTTAGTATTTTTAATTTGCTATAAGGCATATGTGCTCACCAGAGGGACAGAGAGAGAAAGTGAGAACGCAAGCTGCCATGTGGTGAAGCTGCCGCACCTGAACCACCACACCACCTGCTGGCCCCATGTCCTTTCTTTTTCTTTTTCTTTCTTTTTTTTATTTTTTTTTTTTTTTTTTTTATGGAGAGGTTTTAGCTACAGGGCGCGTGTGCTCGCCAGAGAGACAGAGAGACAGAAAGTGAGAAATCACCTCCCAGGGGGGATGGCCACACCGCAATCCCTTCTCCTCCATTCTCCTCTCGGGATCTTGGGCACGCACGCACATGCTCCTGGTGTGAGTTTAAACCACCGGGTCTGGGACTCGAACTACAGTCGACTACATGGGAGTCCAGCGACATAGCCATTACGCTAACTGCTGGTCCCCCATGTTGTTTCTTACAA